CGACGAGCTGGGTCTCAGCAAGGCCAACGGCGTGGACACGCCGATGGAGAAGCGCAGCGCCGACAAGCAGATGATGGACGCGAAGTCGGCGGCGCTGGGAACGGCGGAAGCTTCGCGCTTCCGATCCCTCACCATGAGGGTAGCCTACCTGTCTCAGGACAGGCTGGACTTGGCAGAGGCATCGAAGACGCTCGCCAGGTCCATGCAGACGCCGACGGAGGCGAGTTGGCTCATGCTCAAGAGGGTTGGCCGCTACCTTAAGCGGCATCCCAGTACGGTGACGGTCTTCACGGAGCAGAAGATGTTCGACAAGATCCGAGTGTACGTGGACTCCGATCATGCGGGCTGCGCAGTCACTCGGAAAAGTACCGGAGGCTTCGTGGCGATGCTGGGGCATCACGTCATCAAGCACGGCAGTAATCTTCAGTCGACGGTCTCTCTGAGCAGTGGGGAGAGCGAGTACTACGCCCTGGTGAAGGGCGGGAGCGTGGGCCTGGGTCTACACAGCCTCTTCGCAGATTGGGGGCTGGACCTGAAGGTGGAGCTCGCCTCAGACTCATCGGCGGCCCGGGGCCACGTCCAACGGCGAGGTCTCGGGAACATGCGACATGTTCAATCCCGATACCTGTGGATCCAGGAGCGCGTGGGCAAGGGCGACCTTTCGATCGCCGCGGTTCCTGGTAAGAACAATGTCGCGGACGTGCTGACCAAGAGCGTGGGTGGATCTCTCTTGAGGAGACACATGGCGACGCTCAACATCTGGGATCGGGCACCGAGTTCGACCCAGAAGGATATCAAGTGAAGGAGTGGATCGAATCCATGCTCCGCTACCTGTGGGGCTGGATGAGTTTCCGCCGGTGGCGGTATGATCGCACCGGACGGGTGAAGTGAGGGGCTCGCGGCATGGCCGCAGCCTGGCTGACGAGATGGGCGCGTCGGCTTGGACGCGCCCGCGTGTGACGTGGAGATGGGCGTGTCGGCTTGGACGCGCCCGCGTACGACGCATGTCGTGCCTGGCCGGGTTGGCGGCCAGGCCCGAGGAGGAGTGATTCTGACACCCTCCTCCGTGTACCTATTTTGGCTCAAGATGAAAAGAGATCTTGTTGCTAATCAACACATTATCTCATCAGGTGCCGTTTAACTCCCCCCAGGCGCTTCCCTTCCCATCCCTGCTCGTGCGAGCCGGCGCGTGGACGTGACTGCGCACGCGGACGCGCGTGCGCCCACGGGGTCAGAAGGAGGAGGAATAACTGGAATAACTCTTCAAGAGGGGGATGCGTCCGTGACGCACCCCCTCGCGTCTATTCGATTACACACAATCGTAAAACCCTCACGCTCCCCCCCCTTCACCCCCCCGCCGCCGTCGGAAGTCCTTGACGTTCGAACCGACGACGGGCAGTGGCGCTCTGCCGCCACCAGCGCCTTGGGGGATGGGCCAGTCCTTGCCAGCCTTGGGGGGGGGACCTCGACTCAAACGATTCAAATAGTTGCGTCCCGAATTGGTGCGCTTTTCGGGACAGAGGTTGACCAGCTCACGCAAGTGACCCCCACCCTGGACCACTGTCCCGAATCTAGCACACTTCCAGCACCACGCTAGTCCGTTCTGCATGGCAATGGAGTGAGAGCTGTGGACGACTCGATCGCCCACTCTGAGGGTATGCACACTCGTGGGGAAAACTCTGACATGGTGCCCCTGCTCACTGAGGGCTCGCTGGGCTAAATCTCCAGGGCACAAGAAAGCCTGGAGCAAATCTTCCAAGGAGAAACGGCCTGGGGTCTGGCGGCACAGCTTGCAGGACCAAAGACCATTCGAGAGACGCTGCATCTGATGGCCAGCTCTGGCCTCGAGCTCTCCCACCCTCGACAGCCCCGACTCCGAACCGAGCGACCCACCGAACTCCCCACGGTCCCCCCGATCCAATTCAGAGCAGACATGGGCCCAAATCGCCCCTATCCTCTGATGCACCAGGGTGGCTCTGGCATCAGCAACGTTCAAAGCTTTGATGGCACTACGGATGGGAGCGGCGGCGGCCTCAGCACCTCGTTGGGCCAGCTGATCGGCCATCTCATTTCCCCGAGACACTTTCAGATCCTGACCTACGCGCATATGGGACTCAGCATCCAGGTGCGAAAAACACGTCTTTAGAACAACGTGCCCTTCGCCTCTGCTCTGCAGGGCCGCTCTCACCCGAGACCACCACCGAATGAGCGGGCCCTGCGGAGCTGAGGCGAAGCCTTTACACCATCCTTCAAAGACAAGAGCACAGTCAGACCACAGCTCTATGGGTCCCTTGGTGACCTTAAGGGCCCAAACCAACGCGGCAAGCTCACTAGCAGGCACTGTCTGGGGTCCATCGATGGTTCCGAACAGCCCGCGGAGGACCCCTCTTTCCACGTCCAGCTCCGCCTCGCCCTCCACACGGAAGTACACCCCCCAACCAACACGGCGCACTCGGGCATCGCTGGACGTGGCGGAGCCGTCAAGGAAGCCCACCTGCGCCTGGAGGGGGAAAGTAGAAGACGGGAGGAGCTCGAAGGAGGAGTCGAGGTCGGGAGGGGGGAGCCCTATAGCCCAAACCTCTTGGCCTTCTCCAGAGTTCCACTCGGGGGGCGGGGGCGCAGTGTTCCAGGGCGGGGGAACGATCCCCCGCTTCCAGAAACTAACATTCACGCCCTCACTCAAATCTTCCAAAGCATGCTCGCACAACGACTCAGTTCGGGAAACCCACTCATGGTCAATGTTGACATTCGCTTGACACTCGTACAATCTGTGAGCAATCGTGTCTTTTCCAAGCTCGCACCTCGGGCAAACGTCATCGCATCTGTGCCCTGAGGATTTGGCGCGAGCCTTCGTCCAGATGCAAGCCAGAGCGTTCGCCTCCAGCGCACCTGCCTCTCGATGTCGGTCCTGGCGACGGAGCCGCCGCAGGTTGACCCGCAGCATGTGCATGTCGCCGCCCTCGTGCAGCCCCTGCCCTGCTGGATGATCGCCAGCCCGCTGCCAGAGGTCGCGCCTGACGGAGGAGCACAGAGCCTCGTGCAACTCGTCGTAGCTGTCCGCGGCATCGCCCATGTGCTTCCACTCGTTCCCCTGGTCGTCGAGCCAGTGGTCTGGAGCTCGCGGGGTCCAGCCGAGCTCGCGCAGCATCATGATGAGAGCCCCCATCGGGCCCGTCACGCGCCGCCATCTTGAGCGGGGGCGCAGGTATATCAGCCTCTTCAGCACCGCTCGCCAGCCCCGTCGAACTCGTCCTCGCAGCTCTGGATGGGCCTCCCAGAACTGGAACCACTGCTTGACCTGATCCTTGACCACGCTCATCCTGGGCTCGTCGTCCGTGCATCTGCCACCGACTGTGTGTCCAGCCAAGTCTGCCGCTTGGGCACGCCTGCGCTCCATATCAGACGGCGCCACTCCCAGAACTGGATCAGCATATCGAAACTTCGCCTTGATGTTGGTATTGCGCAGCATGACTCCTTTGGATCTGATGCCTCCTCGACCGACTCGCCTGAACAGGGCTGTGCGCGTGGCGCGAGCTTGCGCCGTGGTCATCTTGCCCTTGGCGGTCTTGGTCGCACGCTTGAGTCCCATGGAACAGTCCACCCCAAGGTCCTTGGCCCAGCTGGCTCGCTTGATCTTGATACCCGTGCTCCGCAAGACGTGCCGCTGGACTTTCACCTCATCCTTCACATTCGTCATCATCAAGAGCGACTTGGGGGGGACTCGGAGTCCCAGGTCCAGCATGCCCTGCACCAGCTCACAAGTGATCGTCTTAGTCTGGTCCAGCACCATCTTTCTTGGACCCTCCACTCGCGTGTGTACATCGTCGACGTACTGCCTGATGTGAGCCAACGGGGCCCTCTCATGAGCCCTCTCCAACAGTCGGTACAGGAAGACTCTTGCACAGTGGTTGGCCTTCCCGCAGCCTGGTACGATGGAGCAGTTCGGCGCGATGGGCTCGGCGTAAGCCCCTTGGGCCTTGACCGTACGAGGCGATAGATACGTCAGGCAGCAGAGGTACAGCTCCACCGCAGGAAATTGAAGCCCGATCGCCTGGATAACCATCTGTGCCAAGTCCATATGATCGTAAAACTTCTCAACATCTGCCAGAAAATTGCTCTGCTCGTTGAGGCGGATGCGTGCCCGAGTCTCGTCCAGGACCATGGTGAGCAGGGCAGCCTGGAGCGCGCTGCTGCCTCTCACCGCCGCGTCCCAGTGCGCAGCCCGTTTGTCACACCACTCCGTCAGGGGGGACTTGGTGAGGCGCCCCCAGATCCTGACGGGCATCGGCAGGAGGCCGATGTCCCTCTCGTTGCCCAGCTCCTGCTTCTCGCCCTTGGGCAGCAGCGCGAACCAGTTGTGCAGCAGCTGGTGCGGCCAGGCCAGCCCTCGCTCGAGCATGTTGAGGAGCGTGACGAGAGACTCCTGCCCCTGGTCCGAGAGGGCCAGGATGTGTGCTGGCTTCCACTGGTCTGGCCCCGTGCCCGTGCCCTTCGGGAAAGACTTGAGTGCCGCCACCAGTTGCCCCCGAGTGTGGTAGGGGCGGTCGGCCAAGTCCTCGTGGGCACGGGTCCTCAGCGCACCGAGGGCAGCACGGACTGCTGGTAGGCGGTGTGGCTGGGAGGTCCACCGCGCTGCCCAGCAGGCCGCTCTGACGTCAGTTGTGCCCTGGGCCGTATCACATACCTCGCCAGTGACGGGGTCGATGCAGGTCTCATCCAGGGCGCGCTGCTCGTTCTTCTTCAGGTAGCGGCGAGCGCCCTTCATGGAGCCCTGCGCACTCTTGACCGCCCAGCTGCCGATCTCACTCCGCGTCTGCTGCCAAGCCAGGCTGGCGTGGCGGACCGAGCGGGCCTGCACCTTCAGCGCGAAGTTCTGCCACTCTGCGAAGTCCGAGCATGCTCGGATGCGCTCGCCCTGGCGAATGACCTGCTCATCATCTCTGAATACTCTCCACTTCCCAGTCATATCTTCTGCATGGCCGTCTGGAACTGGACCATAGCTAGCTGTCGTGCTCTCTGCGCAACTCGGCCAGTATGCTGGTCACGATGTCCTGAACCCGCTGCCGATATCTCGAATGACGAAAACGACCTAGCGCGACCAGCTGCTCCTGCACCCTGGCATGCAGACTCGCCCACCTGCTGTTGAGGGCGTTGGCACTGGAGTGGCCGAAATTCGAGTCATTCTTCTGGACCACTGCACGTCTCCACTGATACTTCACTGGCATACCTCGGCGGGCACCCTGTCGCAGTTCAACCCCATAAAAGATCTGCCAGCTGTGCCTCCGCCGCCATCGACCAGATGCCATACTGCCTCGCGAGAATCTCAGACATATGCGGGGCAGCTCTGCACGCCTCACTCCTCTGCACGTCTGGCTCGGCCTGGGGGAAGGAGTAACCGAGACCCTCGCTGGCCTCGTACACGTACTGGATCCACTCCTGGTCCTCGCACCTCAGGGCCCGCTTGGTGACGTAGTGGTCGTCCAGCAGGTGGCCGTCGTCGTCGTTGAGCAGGTCACCCTGCTGCAACACGTGCATCTCGTCGCGCATCTCATGGATCTTCGCATGCTTCTCCCTGTCCCTCTGGAACCTCTTGAGGCCCTTGGGCATCCTGGACTCACCCTCGGGAAGCACCAAGGGTACTGGAAGCACTGGTACACGGAGGAAGACCGATGCGGGACGAGACCTGATGCGGATGTTGAGGCCAATGTGAGGGCCCCACGGCAAATTCTGCACTGGCAACACCTGGGACAAGAAGGGACGAAAGCTGTCTGGCACCACCGCGTAGTCAATCATGCGTCCTTTTCCTGAGGTGCATGAGACCTCGACCCCCTCTGGGGTCACGACGCGAGCCCGAAGCACGTCCAACCAGCCCGACTTTGCCATCTCAGCAGGCGTGGCGTTGAAATCTCCCACCAGCAACCATGGCACATCCAGTGACTTGACGATCCTGGCGATGTTGAGCATCTTTCTGGAATTGGTCCCAGCCATGCCGATGGAGCAATCGAGATAACAAACAATGAAGGCGAAGGTAACCCCATGAAACCTCCATAGCACAACTGTCTTATCCCGAAGGGCATCATGAAACACACTCTTGCCAAGCGAGCCTGATAGGTGAGTGCTTGTGGCGTAGGTGGCCCTTCGGAGCCAGCACGTTCCCCCGTGCGTGCCTCTCTCAGACCTGCCTGTAGCCGTAGCAGCTGTCCATGTAGCCTCTGACCTCCAACCAAAATTGCGAAGGCGCCTCTCCTCACCCTGGCACTGCACTTGGGACAAGTGGTGTTCTGCCATCCCCATGAGGTCGTACGGCGCCGACTCTACGAACTTCTTCACCTTGTGGCTCCAGCTGGTGACGTTCCCGAAGAAGACCGAGACACGATCCCGCTGGCCAAATGGTATTCTATCTGCATTGTGGTGGGACGACGTGTCACCCACCCGACGTCTTGCCCGCGCCAGCTGCAGCAGCCGTTGCAGCTCCTCCCGAGCTGCCCGAGCGAGCTGCCTCAGCCGCTGCAGCCCTGGCCTTGATGGACGCCGTGCGCTGGATGTACGCCTCCACGTTCTTGACATCAGTGAAGTCCTGGTTTGACTCGGCTGGCTGTTCGTCGTCCTTGGCCTGCGCCTCGGCGCCAGCTGCAGGGGCCCCAGCAGCAACACCTGCGGCACCAGTGGCACGTCGACGCTTGTGAGTGGCTGTCTCCCGCAACTCCCGTAGCGTCTTGGCCGCGTCCTGCGCCTGCTGGCCGATGCTCTGCGCGTTCTTGTACACCTCCTGGGCCTGCTTGGCCCTGGCCAGCGCTGCCTCGTAGGCCGTCTGCTGCTCTGGCGTGAGGAGGGCGATGTCCTCGGGGTCCAGCTCGGGGAAATTGGGGGACCTCGTCGGTAGCAGCCGACTTGCCTCCATCTCCTGCACCCATGGCTGCACCTCCAGCGCCCCTGGCCGCAGATGTCTGGCTAGTGAGGCGGTTGACCTCAGCCTGTGTTTCGGCGCACGCTCTGACGTTTTCCTCCAGCTTGACGAGGAGCTCCTTCCCTGTCCTGGCGTTGGCCACGACCTGGTTCTTGAGCTTCTCTTGCTGGCACTGGAGACGGCGGAGACACGCTGCATGTTGTTCCAGTAGAACTTCTGGAGCCTTGGGAGGTACAGGTTTGAGCGCATCCGCCAGCTCGGGGCACACCATCTCCAGCGCCTTGATGGTGTCCTCCTCTTTGGTGTCCTTGGCCGACCTGTACTTTGGCAGCAGCTGCTCGAGGAGGGTGCTGCCCGTCTCTCCACTCTCCAGTGCGAAGGTGACTTCCTTCTTGCTGGATGGCTTCGGCCAGGGTGCGTTGCACAATCGACACGATTCCCAGCCAGGGGTTCCAGCTCTGTTGCAATAAACCCAAGAGCGAGGACAATTGCGGCACACGTGATACGCCTGGCGGCGCTTCCCGTGGGTGGAAGGCGGTCTCGAGCCATCCCTGCTCCTCGCCCTCTCATTGCCGCTACGTCCCATCAAACAACTCGACACTCGACTTTCGCCGCCTGCAGGCGCCCCTCAAGCCGCGGGAGCCCGTAGCGCGCACCTGGTGCGCACCCGAACTCGGTACGCGCGAGTGCCGTGCGGTCGTCGGGCCTCTCCCAAAAGGACCTCGGGCCGCAGAAGGCTTGAGGGTCAGAAGGAGGAGGAGGAGGAGGAGGAGGAGGAGGAGGAGGAGGAGGAAGAGGAGGGAGGAGGAGGAGGAGAAGGAGGAGGAGGAGGAGGAGGAGGAGGAGCAAACCCAGGACGCAGCAGCCATGTCGCAAGAACCCCGCCTTCCAAGTTCCTTCTCCGCTGGTCCCTACAGTAAAGGTGTGCTTCCAGTGCAGGAAGTGGCCCGTTGAGCGGCAGCCGCCCGAAAGATTCGAGCCCAAGACTCCAGGAAAGGGGGAGGCCTCGCCAGGACCAGGGAAAGCCAAACTTTGGGATTCGGGCTCCCCTCGGTTTCCACAGTTGCGTTCTAATCCCAGATTGTGCCGAAACACAGCTCTTGGGATCCAACTGCCTCCAATCAGCGTGACTGTTGCGTCCTGGCAATCCTGGATCGCGCCAGAACACCATTCCTGGGATTTCAAATATGCGAATCCACGTGACTGCTGCGTCTCGCGAATCCTAAATCGTGCCCGAACACCGTTCCTCGGACTCAAGCCCCACAGATAATATTGGAAGTTGCTGCAACCTGTTAAGTCGAATGTGCGTGGCGCTAACGCGAGAGCCACATGTTCGAAATCAGTCGGTCTCGATGTTTGAAAAGCTGCTGCTAGCCTTCAAGGCGAATGTGCGCGGCGCTGGTGCGAGAGCTCCACACTGAGAACGAGCCGCCCACCATCATGGAACCGCTGCAACTCCTAGAGCGAATGTGCGCGGCGCCAAGGTGAGAGCTCGAATTTGAGAGCGGGCCGCCCCCCCCGCGCGGTGCAGCCCCGCCAGCGCTCCAGAGAATCCAGAAACGCAACGGGGCATCCAGGTTCCCTGGGAATCCAGGGTTTGGGCCACGAAGTAGTGTTTGTTGGCACGTTCGATGCGCAGAAGCTGGAAGGACCCGAGGACACTCCATTTCACGCCTCCCGCCATGGTGGCGGGCCACCATGTCGCGACCCCCTTTTGGTTCAGTCGGGGCCTCGAAGTTTGCGGCGGGTGGTCGCCAGCCTACCAGCAAACACCCTGCCGATGTTGCCCAACCCGCGCGCGAGTCTTCAAGACATGGAGGGGCTTCTCGCCGAACAGGGGAAGGGCAAGGTGGTGAGCCTCGGCCCGCACGTGCCCAGCTCGGCCCCGACGCGCTGCCCCACGGCAAGTTCGCGCACGCTCGACGACGACCAGGACGCCGATGCGCCCCAGGAGGACTGGGGCGTCGCTGCGCTTCCGCGGGACGGCGACGAGCTGGCGTTCCTCAACACGGCGCCCTTCGAGACCGTGCCCGTCAGGGACGAGCGTCCCGGGAGGGGGTCTGCGATGCCAGCGCCCCCGCTGAGGCGCCTCCGGTCCGAGGCGTATTGGGAGCAGAAGGTTGCCGCCGCGTGGCGGCTGGCGTGCTCGCCTTGGGAGGTGGGCGTGCGGCAGCGTTGCCCCCGCGTCGACGGAGGCGGCTGCCTCGGGCCCGCGGCGGCCGCGCCGCCGACAGCGGAAGGCGCCGAAGGCGAGGGCCCAGCGGCGGCCGAGCCGCCAGCAGCAGGAGCCGCCGAGGGCGGAGGCTCCGAGGACGGCCGCAGGAGCTGGGCGGGCGCCGTCTCGAGGGAGTTGCGCCGCGGGGCCCGCGGGGCGCTCGTGCCGGTTGTTGCGCCTCTGGCCCCGCCGCCGGCTGCGCCGCCGCGGTCGCCCTCCGCAGCAGTCGGTGCCGCCCTGAGGTCGCGTGGCCGGTCGTACCATCCTGCTGGGGGATGCTAGGAGCCGCTGGTCAGCGTCAAGGTCACGTAAGACTCGAGCTCGGCGGGACGCGGAGCTCTTCCTGGGCTTGACGGTCCAGGTTCGTGGGGCGTTTGCAGCGGGAGTTCGCGTCGAATTTCAGATTGGGTCTTATCATGTTCGTGACGGCCCCGTCAGGCCAACCTGGATCCTCCGAACCCGCGTCTTACCCACCAACCGCCAAGCCAAGCCAACCCAACCCGAAGGCCCCAATTTGTCTTCCATTCCCGGTGAAGGGTATCCCCGATCGACAAAAATACCGTCAGAACCCTCGCGCCCTCCAACTCAAACTTGGAGACTTCGGGCTGGTTTGGGGTGGTATGTTAGTTGGCCACTTACGTCTCCCCGACGGTTGCAAGCAGTTGGGAGCCAACTCCAGGATTGCCCTGCAACCGCTTGCGGCTCCAAGGCCAAGCCATGCACTTGTGTTTTGCCGCCCTTTGCCGTCTGCAGGCCAAGTGGCGCCCCTCAACGCGCGTGTGTGCAGCGGGAGCTCGCGTCAAATTTCAGACTGGGTCTTGTCTTTTTCCCGACGGCCCCGTCAGGCCAACCCAGGTGCTCCAGACCCGACTCTTACGTCTCCCCGACGGTTGCAAGCAGTTGGGAGCGAACTTCAGGATTGCCCTGCAACCGCTTGCGGCTCCACGGCCAAGCCATGCACTTGTGTTTTTTTGCCGCCCTTTGCCGTCTGCAGGCCAAGTGGCGCCTCTCAACGCGCGTGTTGGGACGTTCTGACAAACATGCCCATTTGAAGTTGCGGTAGGGGCCAAGGCCCGCCCTCTTCTTAATACAGTGTACAGGAAGTCCCTGGCAGGATTGGGAGCACGTGCGCGATGATGAGGACAACAATCTGAGGTTGCCAGTATATCGTCAGCCTCCGCAAAATTGGGAACGGGTTTCCAAACGCCCACCCAGATTCGCAAGGCTGGTCTTGCCACCTTGCTGGGAGTTGCTAGGGGCCGCTGGTCAGTTTCGGGGGAGCGTAAGACTCGAGTTTGACGGAGCTGTGGTTCGCCGCAGCTTTTTCACGAGCTCGTCCTGGATCTTGACGTTCCATTTTCGTGGGGGGGGTGTTTGCAGCGGGAGCTCGCGTCAAATTTCAGACTGGGTCTTGTCTTTTTCCCGGCGGCCCCGTCAGGCCAACCCAGGTGCTCCGGACCCGACTTTTACGTCTCCCTGACGGTTGCAAGCAGTTGGGAGCGAACTTCAGGATTGCCCTGCAACCGCTTGCGGCTCCACGGCCAAGCCATGCACTTGTGTTTTGCCGCCCTTTGCCGTCTGCAGGCCAAGTGGCGCCCCTCAACGCGCGTGTGTGCAGCGGGAGCTCGCGTCAAATTTCAGACTGGGTCTTGTCTTTTTCCCGACGGCCCCGTCAGGCCAACCCAGGTGCTCCAGACCCGACTCTTACGTCTCCCCGACGGTTGCAAGCAGTTGGGAGCGAACTTCAGGATTGCCCTGCAACCGCTTGCGGCTCCACGGCCAAGCCATGCACTTGTGTTTTTTTGCCGCCCTTTGCCGTCTGCAGGCCAAGTGGCGCCTCTCAACGCGCGTGTTGGGACGTTCTGA